TTCCCTCTTTGACAGAAAACACCAGGACTGCGGTATCTTGGCTTCCATGTTAATTTTGCTTTTCTTTCTTTTAATGGCAAGAATAAGAAGTTTGTTGTTTGTTGTTGTTTTTTTGGAGATCCTGATCGCCCGCTCTCTCCAAACCCTCTTTTAGACTGCCCAGTCATTCTGCTAATTTTGATCAAAATCTTCTCACTTTCAAAAGGCCTCTGGGGACACAATTAGGAAGAGCTCTTCATAGGACGGACTGTCGGTGCCAGGATGGAGCGCTTTTAAAAGCCGAGGGCAGGATAGTTTTAATTTAATTACCGATCCAATTAAAGCTTTCTCCTTGGGTGGGTTTCAGCAGTGTTCCTTGTTCAGCTCCGAGCCAGACGGTGATCAGGAAATGTTTCAACAGAGATTTCTGTTTGGAGTTCCACAGATTGAAGAGGTTGAGGGGGCATATATATGGTGTAAGGTAATCACACAGAGCCTAGGACTTGCTGATCAGAAGGTTGGTGGTTCGAATCCCCGTGACGGGGTGAGCTCCCATTGCTCAGTCCCCGCTCCTGCCAACCTAGCAGTTCGAAAGCACAATGTGCAAGCAGATAATTAGGTATCGCTCTGGCGGGAAGGTAAACGACGTTTCTGTGCACTGCTCTGGTTTGCCAGAAGTGGCTTAGTCATGCTGGCCACATGACCCGGAAGCTGTCTGTGGACAAATGCCCCCTCCCTCAGCCAATAAAGCGAGATGAGTGCTGCAACCCCAGAGTTGGTCACGACTGGACCTAATGGTCAGGGGTCCCTTTGCCTTTTTAATCTCACTGTTATGGGACTCCATAATTTCCCCTTTCTTTGGAAGAATCAGCCGAGCAAAGAAAAACCCTTTCAAAGGAAAGGAAGGAAGAAGGAGCCCTGATTAATTTACAAAGACCACCACAGGTGCATTTTGATTTAGTGCCATCCTCGCCGAATCCTTGAGGGCTGTGCTATTCGTTTCCTCCAAGGCCTTTGAAGTGTTATCGCTGCTCTGCCTCTCTCAAAAGGCATCTGAGATGGTTACAGTGCCAGAGCAAAGGTATTTCAAAACAAGTACCCTGTCGGATGCCGAGAGATGTTACATTTGTGCATTTCTTTTGAGATGTTTGATTGAATGGTTTCCCAAAAATGCTATAAAAGGAAGCCGGCTACAAACAAACAAACGAAAATCTCTAAGCAACGGCATGGAAAAATCGCAGGCAGTTGATAAACTAGGACTACAAACCCAGGCAATGCTTAGGGTTATGCGGCAAGGACTAGGCTTGCCTATTTATTTATTTAGTCATTGGGACTCGGTGGTACCTTGGGTTAAGAACTTAATTCATTCTGGAGGTCTGTTCTTTTTTTTTTAAAAAAAAACTTTTTAATTCAAAATTAAAACAAAACATATTATCCAAAAACATATCATCCTTATTTTTTCCCCATTTTCCTCCCTCTCCCCACCCTTCCCCACAAAACCCTCCCACCCCCACCCCCCGACTTCCCTCAGTTCCAGTCTTTGATTTCTGTAAGAAGGCTGTTTTCTGCATGTTACACAGTTGTATAGATCCTCAAACTATTTAGCTGATTATCATCAATAGAAAAGTTCATGAATGTTTATTCAAAGCCAGCCAAGGAGTCCAGTTCACTTTGTTGCATCTTCAAATACTTTGTAAAGGGTTCCCATTCATCTTTAAAGTCACAGTTATACTCTGGAGGTCCGTTCTTAACCTGAAACTGTTCTTAACCTGAAGCACCACTTTAGCTAATGGGGCCTCCCGCTGCCGCCGCTGCGCGATTTCTGTTCTCATCCTGAAGCAAAGTTCTTAACCTGAGGTACTATTTCTGGGTTAGCGGAGTCTGTAACCTGAAGCGTCTGTAACCCGAGGTACCACTGTATTTTCAAAGAAGTGTGCAAGGGCTGGAAGAAGAACAGCTGGTTGAAAAAAAATATATTATTAATTCACCATAGAATAGTATAGTTGGAAGAACCTCTAAGGATCATCTAGTCGAACCCTCAGCACTGCAGCAATCACAGCTCATTAATCCCTGGCAGATGGCCACCCAGCCTCTGTTTAAAAACCTCAGAGTAGTACCATTGAACTTAACGGATTCAACTTAATTACTCATTAATCTCCATGGGTCTACCCTGATTAAAACTTGGTTGAACGTCACTCATAAATGCGTGATCACGCATCACTTGAACTCAGATCTGTCATAAGGTCTGTTATGTTGCTTATTTATCTTCACAACCTCTGCTTGAATCTGTCCTGCCTCCCCAGGTTTTATTGCCTTCTTGATAGAATTTGCCGGGCTGTTTTTCAAGCAAGCCATTGCTCTGTGTGCAACAGAACTCTGAACGTGCTGGCAGGCTCAGCCCTCTTTTCCCTTCGATTAATTCACACTCGGTCGTTGCGCTTCCTCCTATCAGATCCTCGTGTCTCCCACCACCAGTAGCCAAACGTGCTGCCAGTCAAACCTTTCTCAGCCTCCTTGGGAGATTTTTTTGGGGGGAGGAGTTTGATAGTGGGCCTTTGCTCAGCTTCTGTCTTCATTGCACCGTCCTGCCTCATCCATCACATCGTGCCATGTTCTGCACAGATCGCTGGTGTTCTCTCCCAGGGAAATTGAAACCAATTCATCTCAATTGGATGCAGAAAGCTGTAAACAGCATCCTCAAGGCGAAAGGAGCCGGACCGGGAGGCTCAGACCCGAAGAAATTCATGCTCGCAGCATCGTTTTATATCACACGGCGCTAAGTGGTTGTACTCAGGACCCCAAAGCTGGCATATTGTGCTGGGGAAATCAAGAACAGACCGTGGAGCCGGTTTTCCAATTATTGTAATTACCGCATTTCTCGCTCCATAAGACACACCTGACCATAAGACGCACCTAGTTTTTAAGAGGGGGAATGCAAGAAAAAAATATTCTTTAAAGGGAGCGCTGAGCAGAGCCTGTATGCATCCCAGGCTCTGCTCAGCGCTCCCTTTCATGAGCCGCGTGGAGTGTGTTTGCGGCGCTTGCAGGCTTTTCCCCAGGAGGGAGAAGGGCCCAATGCTCGACGTGGCTTGTGAAAGGGAGTGCGGCTCTTGGGGGCTTTTCCGGGAGGTGGGGGGAAGGGACTGAGGGGCTGCCTTCTGCCCTTTCCCCCACCTCCCGCAAAGGCTGACTGGCCGCGTCGGTCCCTTCTCCCTCTTGGGGAAAAGCCCCCAAGAGCCGCACTCCCTTTCACAAGCCACGTGGAGCGTGTGTGCAGCTCTTGGGGAAAAGCCTGCAAGCGCCACACACACGCTCCACGCAGCTCGTGAAAGGGAGCACTGAGCAGAGCCTAGGATGCATACAGGCTCTGCTCAGTGCTCCCTTTAAAAAAATCAGTGACAGGCTGCCCTTCTCCCTCCTTGGAGAAAAGTCCGCAAGAGCCGCGCGGAGTGTGTGTGCAGCTCTTGGGGGCTTTTCCTGCCTGCCTCCTGCCTGCATTCGCTCCATAAGACACACACACATTTCTCCTTACTTTTTAGGAGGGAAAAAGTGTGTCTTATGGAGCGAAAAATACGGTATATAAATTTAGAGAATCGCTTTTCCCCATGGAACAGCATTCAAAGCCGCATGCAGTATGGGAAAGGGAAACTTGCAAAACACAACCAGGATGAACAAAAGCTCTCGACCGTGAAAGAGCAAGAAGAAGGAGGCAGTGGAGGCCGCAGCATGCAAGGCAGATGTTTCACCTGTGGGATAGCCATCCTCATATAACCAGTGTGCTTAGGTTTAATTAATGCATGGAGGCATTGATCCCATAAAGTGCTGCCAGACTTAGCCTAGGTAACTTCCCTTAACTTGGGAGCAAACAAGTAATCAAGCCTACTGTTCCTTCCCAGTCTACATGAGAAACTCAAAAGGTGGATGTTGCTCCAGCTCAGACCACATGGCTCTCACAAGCCACTTTAGTTCCTATACTAATGATTTAGGAACTTTCACTACTGCTCTGTAAGTAAGCCCAATTTCATTCCCAGTGCAACTTTTTCTGAATGCTGTATCGAATAGCACATGAACCTGACCTTTGGAGAGTTTGTAAGTAAGCCATTTTAAACTTAACAAATGTGTGGTCTTTTCCTATGCTAAGGGAAGAGGGAAACTTTGGAAGGAACTTGGAAGGGCATATTTTACAGATCTGAGCCTATGTTTCCATGCTTTGCTCGGCTGCAAATTTTTGTGATTTTAAATCCCCGCTGGGGTTCTCTCACCAAAGAGAGCCCCAAACTTGGATCTTGGCAGCCCCGAATTCTCTTTTCTGTACAATTTTCCCCTGAACCAACACTACCAACTGTCAGGCTTCAACGAATCGGCTTCTTCACTCCTTTTGGCAGTAGATAAGCAGAACAAAGGAAAAGGAGTCTTCTTACCAGTTAGAAACTTTAATGATCACAGCGAGAGAACAAATAATCCATTCCTAGGAATGGTGGTGCTCCCAATTAAGGGTTCCACCCACTTCCTCCCTAGTCACCCATGTCACTACTGCGTCTTGTAACCTGATCTCACAATCACTGTGCTTTCTGTGCTGCCACCTTATCAGCTCTCCTTGACCTTGGCCTGAGCGGGTGAATGCTTTCCAGAGACAGTGAATCTGTTAACTCCCTCCCAGTGCTTCTTCTCCTAGCTGTTCCCCATCCAGTATTTCCCAGCTTCTGCCTTCTGAACTACGTCCCTCTGCAAGCCACTGTTCCAAATCTATACTGCCCTCCAGCTCCTGGGAAGATCCAGGATCCAGAGCAGGAAGAGGGGGAAGGGGAGGCTCCCACCATTCCTACTCAGTGCAGCCCTCCTCAGCCCAATCCTTGACACCAACTGAGCTACATACCACTCCCCTTGGCATAATGTTGTTCTCTAAATACAGGTGTCTTTGCCTCTCCCTCCCCCTAATACTGGAGTTCAGGCTTCCTCCAGGAGAGTGAAAATAGACCATCCGTTGGTTAAGACGAGCATTTTTCTTCTTCGTTTTTCAGGCTGCTCCGATGCATTCAGACTGTTTCATCAGGAAGGAGCAAGAGGCCTGCTTGGAGACCATCCGGAAGCTGAACGCCTTAATGCCACTGAACGAATCGGCTCCAGGTACGTTTTTAGGGCATACCCTAATTCAGCATGTACCCTTGCAGTTTTTCCAGAGCTGGGAAAGGAAGGAATGACTGGGAAACACCGGAAGGTATATGGGGACATGCTGGTTAATGCCCCTGTCTTTTATAAATCTCTTCTTGCACTGGCTCCCGGTGGAGTATTGGGTCAGGTTTAAGGTGCTGGTTTTGACCTTTAAAGCCCTTTGTGGCTTAGGGCCTTTGTATTTACAGGACCACCTCTCCTGGTATGCCCTGCAGAGGACCTTAAGGTCCATGAATAATCATAGTTTAGAGGTCCTGGGCCCTAAGGAAGTCAGATTATCCTCCACCAGAGCCTTCTCAGTGATGGCTCCAACCTGGTGGAATGCTCTGTCCCAGGATACCAGGACCCTACAGAATTTAACTTCCTTCTGCAGGGCCTGTAAGACTGAGCTATTCTGCCTGGATTTCAATTTGAACTTAGCCTAATCTTTTATTCCCCTTCCTTCCCCCCCTCCCCTTTTTATGAAGATTACCCGCTCTGGGATCCCACAGCTAATTCTCCCCTGGTCTCCCTGCTGGCCCAAATAGGACTAATTTAGCCAGCTAGCCCTGGTGATCATCTAATGTTTATTGGATGTATTTCCCCCTATATTGATTTTTGAATTCTGAATTTATTGTTATTCACATTTTATACTGTATTTTATGCTGTTTTTTGTTGCATCAGTTAAGTGTTTTAAATTTGTTGTTATCCACCCTGAGCCTGGTTTTCTGAAGCAGGAAGGGGAGGGTATAAATAAAAATTTATTTATTCTTCAAGAGTTGGGGTTTGACTTACAAAGTTCAGAGTGAAACTGACAATACAAAGACGCACCAGACCTCCTAAATGTACACACTTCCACTTTTCACTATGTTCTGCAGAAGGCTTTTGTTGCAACTATGTCCTGTAGTTTGATCTTCTTTGTGCTGGACATTTGTGGTTCATTTTGACTGGCTTCTCATGGTCTTATTGTCGTACCTATGCTATATTGCATTTTAATTGTAGCCCACCTTGGGGAGGCTCCCCCTGCTTTAAAGATTTCCTTTCTTTAGTTCCATATATGAATCCCTTTCCGCAAAAGATCTTGAAGCAATTTCACAAGGAAAACGCATGAGCGGTGAAAACAATTTTGCAATTTCATGGGCGCAAACTTTAAAAAGCAATTAAAAACCTTTTGTTTATCTATAAGAAAGAAGAATTCAAGCACGATCTCATGTGTAAAAGCAGTTTCAGGTCCAATACAGACTGAAGGTCCTTATTGGATTGGGACCCTCGTAATCGGTTTCTTGTTGGCAGCTCGAAGAAATAAGGCAGATTAAATGAGACAGCTGGAAGAGGAAGGAAAGGCACTGCTCGCTCGTTTTGTCTTTGGCAGAGAACGAAGCATAAAAAAACATTCGAGTCAATGGCAGAGGCAGAGAAGGGAGAAACGCTGTTGGAATGCAAATGTTACCCTCCCTTGTCATTGCACGGGAAACTCTCAATAGGACCTTTTTCCTATTTCCTATAAAGAGAACACGGCAGCTAGACTGGTGACTGGGAGCAGCCACCGAGACCATATAACACCTTTCCTGAAAGACCTACATTGGCTCCCAGAATGTTTCAGAGCACAATTCAAAGTGTTGGTGCTGACCTTGAAAGCCCTAAACCGCCTTGGTCCAGTATACCTGAAGGAGCGTCTCCACCTCCATCGTTCAGCCCGGACACTGAGGTCCAGCGCCGAGGGCCTTCTGGTGGTTCCCTCACTGTGAGAAGTGAGGCTACATGGAACTAGGCAGAGGGCCTTCTCGGTAGTGGCGCCCGCCCTGTGGAACGCCCTCCCACCAGGTGTCAGAGAGACTTTTAGAAGACATCTGAAGGCAGCCCTGTTTACGGAAGCTTTTAATGTTGAATAGAGTATTGTATTTTAATATTTTGTTGGAAGCTGCCCAGAGTGGCTGGGGAAACCCAACCAGATGGGAAGGGTATAAATAATAAATTATTATTATTATTATTATTATTATTATTATTATTATTATTATATAAAGGAAGAGAAGCCATTCCCAAGATACTTGAATTCTCTGCTCAGTGCAAACTCTGCCAATCAAACATTTTTGCATAATAATCTCACAGCGAAATATTCTTTTTTTTTTTTTATAAAATTTTTATTTGGTTTTCTGCTTTTATAAAGACAAAACATACACAAAGAAAAAACAAAGACAAAAACATGTATAAAGTCAGCAAATCCCCATTTCATAACCTTGTTCCCTGACTTCCCCCCACCCCCCCTAATGCATCCCAGTTTCAAGATCATGTCAGCAAGTTGATATTTCTCCTCTTAACAATCTTATTCCTCTTATTTCCTTTTTTTTATAATAAAAATTAGTTTTCATAAGTTGGACTTAAGTTCTCTTCCATCGATTTTCATTTTATCTTAATTAAAAGTCATCCTAACCAAACCTAAAAGTCTTGAGAGTTTTTAAGAGTCTCTTCTTCCCTCCCTCCCATCCCCGGTTTTTGTCCCTTCCCAATAAAAATCCAAATTCGAAGTTCTCAGCCTGGGTTCCTCACGTCCGAGGCTTTCAAATCTATTTCCGTTCCTCTCCGCCTGTCCTGTTGGTAGTCCTTTACAGCAGTCGTCAGATCTGGGAAAAGTTCTTTCACCATCAAAGTATGTCCTCCTCCAACAAAAAGATTCAAAGGTGGCTGCTGAAGTATTTCCACAAAGTCTATCTCTTCCAAGTCTAAGTCCAAACGGAGACCCCAATCATATTTCTTTATTTTAAATTCCTGTACTCCATTTTGTCTTGGGGCCTCCTCCTTCTTCTTCTGTATCTCTCGCAGACTTGTGGTGAATATGTTCCCAGCGTCTCCTTGCTTGTATTCCACAGATGTCAACTTTTGGTTATTACTTCCCAGGATTACTTCTTCTTTTTCTTGTTGTTTAGTCTCTTCCAGCTCTGTAGATATTGTTTCCCAATCAGCTGTGGATTCTTTCTCGTTGAGGTCCTCAATACAAAGAGCAGAGTTGCCTGTTCCCAACACAGCGAAATATTCTTCACACATCATACACCAGGGGCAGGGAATGTCTGGACCATGGGCTTAATCTGGCCCACCAAGTCTTGGAAGTTGACATGCCAAACTACTTCCTAGGCGCCACACACACCTTTCCGACACCTGACATCGCATATGGCGTCAGGTGCCGCAAAATTCCAGCCGCTGCAGGAAGGAACACATGCAAGCGCTTTTTGTAGGAAAAATCCTGCCGCTTTTAAATGCAGCACCTTTCCTTGTCCCTCTGCATGGGGACAAAGGCTGCAGAGTGACAGAAAGCAAGGAAAAGACCCATTGGATTACCCCTGCAGTGTAAGAGGGCCAGTGTGGTGTAGGGGTTAAGAGCGGTGGTCTTGCAATCTGGTGAACCGGGTTCGCTTCCCTGCTCCTCCACATGCAGCTGCCGGGTGACCTTGGGCTAGTCACACTTCTCTGAAGTCTCTCAGCCTCACTCAACTCACAGTTTGTTGTGAGGGAGGAAGGGAAAGGAGATTGTTAGCCGCTTTGAGACTCCTTTGGGTAGTGATAAAGCGGGATATCAAATCCAATCCAAAACTCTTCTTAAGAGTTTGCTGTTGTTGTTTAGTCGTTTAGTCATGACCGACTCTTCGTGACCCCATGGACCAGAGCACATCAGGCACTCCTGAATCCCATTTTTTTATATATAAAATTTTTATTAGGGTTTTTACATTACAAAATAGAAAAAGAAAAAAAGAAAAAATACAAAATAAAAGTAGTTAAAAACAATCAATCTTTTCATCACATTATTTTTCATTTACCTCGTACCTCCCTTTTTTGTATTCCAGTTCAATTTATTAGCTCAGCAGTTTCTTTCCCTCTTTATTCTACCCAGATCTTTAATCTTATGTTATTATAACCTTAAATTTTTTACTTATAAAAAAAACCATTTTTTCATATTCTTTTATACCATTACAGCTAGAAACCACTTAATTTCAATCCAACATCATTCTAACATTCATTAATTTTACAATATCTCTGTAGATAGTCTTTAAATTTCTTCCAGTCTTCTTCCACCGACTCTTCTCCCTGGTCACGGATTCTGCCAGTCATTTCCGCCAATTCCATGTAGTCCATCACCTTCATCTGCCATTCTTCCAGAGTGGGTAAATCTTGTGTCTTCCAATACTTTGCAATAAGTATTCTTGCTGCTGTTGTAGCGTACATAAAGAAAGTTCTATCCTTCTTTAACACTGATTGGCCGACTATGCCCAGGAGAAAGGCCTCTGGTTTCTTCAAGAAGGTATATTTAAATACCTTTTTCAATTCATTATATATCGTCTCCCAGAAAGCCTTAATCCTTGGGCACATCCACCAAAGGTGAAAGAATGTACCTTCAGTTTCTTTACATTTCCAACATTTATTATCGGGCAAGTGATAGATTTTTGCTAGCTTGACTGGGGTCATGTACCACCTGTATATCATTTTCATAATATTCTCTCTTAGGGCATTACATGCCGTAAACTTCATACCTGTGGTCCATAACTGTTCCCAGTCAGCAAACATAATATTGTGTCCAACATCTTGTGCCCATTTAATCATAACAGATTTCACCGTTTCATCCTGAGTATTCCATTTCAACAGCAAGTTATACATCCTTGACAAAGTCTTAGTTTTGGGTTCTAACAGTTCTGTTTCTAATTTTGATTTTTCCACCTGGAAGCCAATTTTCTTGTCCAAATTATATGCCTCCATTATCTGATAATAATGAAGCCAGTCTCGCACTTTGTTCTTTAGTTTCTCAAAACTCTGAAGTTTTAGTCTATCTCCATCTTGTTCCAAAATTTCCCAATATTTCGGCCATTTAACCTCCATATTGAGCTTTTTCTGAGTTTCGCTTCCATTGGTGACAGCCATCTTGGGGTTTTATTTTCCAATAAATCCTTATATCTTATCCAAACATTAAACAATGCTTTCCTAACAATATG